TGCACACCGTCCCTCTACGCTGTATATACGAGCGCTAGTTGCTGGCATAAGAGCTGCTCAGCTGGCTATTAAGGGCTGCGTGGTGGCCCGAGGCCGGAATTAGCATACCCTCGAACCGAACTCCACCTCCGCACCGATATCTCGGCTGCACGAGGAGGAATATAACTTAAGTTCAAGCGGATATTATGCCACCATTCTTCCCTTCCCCCCTGTAATCCGGGCCTCCCCTGACCATCCCTTTTATAACCATATAGGTGGGTGCATCGACTGGACCCCTGAGTGAACAGGCGATAGAACGAAGAAGAAGATAGGCAGAAGAGGGAGGATATAGCCGGGGCCTAAGAAGAAGAACCCCCCGACACACGGAGGTCCTCTTCCCTTATCGACGACCATCTCTTTTAATTGTAATTATATGCGGCCTCGTACCAGATAAGAATCGAACGAAAGAAGTCGGGCCCAATGAGTCCTGGTTCCAGACCCACCCAAGCGCGTGCCGTTTACGCCCAGGAATCGACAGGGTTACAACCTGATCTCCGTAACTCTGAATCAACTTACCAGCGCGATTCCATTAAAACGAATCGTTTTAATGGAAGCCATTAGAAAGGAAGAATCGTCGATGTAGCGACGAGCAATTATCCCTCTTAAGTGATACTGATATATGCGTGTGTGTGTGTGTGTGTATATATATATATAGTAGGTATTGGTTTAACCCGTTTGGTTCCAAATTATGTTATCGTTGTCTTTTTATCGCAATTTTTGTTCCGAATGGTTAAAATCCGTTCAAACGGCACGTATTGAGCTATATAAATATTTTTCACAAATACGATACACGATACACCTATGTATAATATACGATACACGATATAACGATACTTACGAGTAACGATGGTTCTAGAAATATCAATCTCATATAGAAGCCATGAAATAACGAATTTTATAATATACCTCCTAGTCGTACGGTGGAGAAACTTTCCAAGTTAAAAAAATTAAACGTCTAAAATCAACCTGTAGACCGCGGGTCTACATTTATCGAAACCGATTTATTCCCTTTCCGCGAATTCTATTGGCCGGTTACGTTCTTTTGCCTATAATCCCTGAAACACCCTGTATTTCCGTTTCTCGGTTGTTCAGCGATTATCGGTCGATATTTAGGATGAAAATAGGGATTTAAACGAAATACGCATTTCGCTGGCAAAATGCGGCGACGAAAAATTAAACGAACGTACAATCAAAACGAAGAGCAAGGCCGCAGGCGACGAATCACCGTGGCGCCGAGATTCGGGCATATTAAATCATAGCGTAACATCCTTAAAGAGGTGTATCGCGGCGTTCGATTTATTTTCGTAATCCATCGATTCCGCCACGCCGTTCGATAGCCGTATTCTCTGCTGGCTGTAATCATCCCACTAAGCGGACTATCATTAGGGGCAACATTCGCGTGTAGCAGACGTTGTAATAAGAGCACCGAATCATCCCGCTGACCATTTAAACGCGTTTCCCGCGTTCCAGTCATCGTGCGCGCGTGCACATTCCGTGAAGCGGAGAGAAAGAAAAAGATTAACGTGTAATATTTAAATCGTTGCACGATACGGAAATACCGTTTCGAGATGAGTAGCTCTAATACCTGAGTCGCCCGAAGCCAATACCGATCAAAGTTTGACCGGAGACCAACTACTTGGAATCCCTTGTTGATGCAGCTAAAGTTTGAGCGAAGGAGCTACTTGAAACGTTCTGTATTAATACGAGTTAACCGTCATAATATGCCGTAACACAAAATTTCATTCGTAAAAATTTCTACCACGAACTTACGATACGACCGACGTCAGAGTTTAGTTGGAAAACGATGTAAAATCTACTTTGTAAAAGTTCCGCGAAAATATTTAGAAGAAAAGCAACGTGGATTACGGTGTAACTGGATAAACTAGTTGTACAGAATCCTCCGTATTACAAGATAAACGCTACGATATAGAATCGAATTTCGACAAATTCCGTCTAAATACTTAGAACAGGATCCACGTGACAAATTTTTGATCGTCGCGCGGACGATTTCGAACCAGCACGAAGCATCGTCAAGGACGGTCGATAGGCCGATAGATTTTATTACGACCGCCACGTCCAGTCGTATCTCCCGCGGCAGAAAATTCTTTTATAGCGCTTTTTCCGCGAGATAGGAAACCGGATACGATTAATCCGAGCCCGCCGGGCCTCGATGATATTATGGCTGATAATTGGTCGTTCAGGTATCTCTGGAACACGCGAGAGAAAGAAAGAAAGAGATGGACAAAGGAGAGAATGGAGAGGCAAAGGATGGACACGGAGGCGGCGGGGTGGTTAACCAGCGAGATAACACGGCGCAACTCGGCCTCGACCAACCCATAACTAAGCTACGCCTTATTTAAGGCATTATAAGGGCCCTAATTAATACAATGTAGGGGTAGGCGAGATTTTTTTACGAGGCCGCGAGGTTTTATCGCCAATTAAGCCACGGTGCGCTACGGAGCCGGCTGCGGAATGTAAGTAGAGAGAACTGGAGAGAGGCTCCAGGCCGAAAGCGGGACGAGGAAGAGGAGGGAAAATTAAAAAAGAAAGAAGGGACAGGAAGATCGTATGGCTAAATGTTTCCCTATAACGCTGTAAAACGATCGGAAAGTATTTAAGCGATACTTTCAGTGGCTTCATATCGATGTTTTACGCTCTTTCCTCGAATTCGTTTATAGTAGCGCTTGTAATTACTCGAATGATTCAGATATTGCAATGTAATATCAAAATGTATAGGCAGAAGTAACGATTATTTCTAAAATAAACAAACCTAAAGAATAATTTCAGAGAAGATCAAAATAGAAAGCAGCTTGGAATTAATATTTTCATTCTACAATTTGATATTTACAAATTTCATTTCAAATATTCACCGAGTAATATTTCCAAAAATTTAACGAACGATCGACGTTAAACGAAATTAATGTTGTAATTCAAGAGCAAAAAATTCTAGCTAAGCGTGATATTAAAATTAACGAACGCTTACTCGTCGTACAAAAGGAAGAAGAAAATATAAGACGTTTCAGATATTTTCAGAAATATTTTAAATGACTCACCGACTGGAAACGTCGAAGACGATCTGGCCTCCGAGGAAGCAATGTTCTCGGCGGTAATACTCGAAAAAGAAACATCCGTTGGAATTTAATCCACTTTCCGTTGCATTTCCCGCACCAGCTTCGGTTCTAATCGAAGGCTCGCCGATTCTATCGTGGAATTGATTTCCTTCTCATCTGAATATAATTTTCCCCGGACGATCACGGCCGCCGAGGATAATGACGGAGTTACGCCGTAACACCTCCGAGGCATCTCTCTCCCTTTCTTTTTCTTCTTTTATATACATACATAACGTATATGCATTGTGCTCTGCACAGAGAATGTTCAAGCGTACCGTAAACCAGAATTGTACACCATACACGCCATAGAACTGGCCTGTGTTTATATCAGTGTTCGTACACTCGTATACTGGAACGATAAACTATCATGCTCCACTGACTACTCGAGGTGAGCCTCGAAATTTGACAGACATGACTGTAACGAATTGTAAGATACGCCGCGCTGTTACAATCGAAAGAGATTCGGTGGACAGTTTGTAACATTGCAATTTGCTGCGTATCGTTAAGACATGTAGTCCATACCTATTCGATCCTAAAATGAAATAAAAAAATGGTTTTGTAGTATAGAGTCAATTTAAAACAAGCAAAATATATGACTTATTACTCGTACCTTTTTTTCTCTACCTTCACGCGCGTTGTAGGAAAGCTACAAAATCTTGACTCTCACCATCCAAGTCTTCTTCGCTCTTAACACGTTCGTTGCTATCATCGAACCATTATCGATGTCCAACAGCTATAAAAAAAACAAAAAGAATCTCTTACCCATCATATTAGCCCCTAGCGATCATCGTAAGAAAGTTTGAAAATTCGACTCTCTAAAGCCTTCTTTACCCTTGACCGACAAAGAGGATAAAGAATCGGTTAACGATGCAACCAATTTCGAAATTACTCTACTACGAGAAACGAGAAATAAACTTATCGCGTTCTCTCGTCGCGTTACTCGCGTACATACGATCGTCGTGAGAAAGCTTCAGAGACCTAACCACCGAACGCTTCTCCACCCTGAAACAACAAAGTGGCATCTCGCGGCACGTAACCCTTGCCGTTCGTCCTAACAGTTCGTCCCCACTGTCCATCGTAATCGACGTTTCGGATTCTTTACGGAACAACGGACCGTTCTACCAAGATTTATCGGCCGTTCGATCGTATTTCATTACTCGGCTGACCCTCATTGTCCGGTGTGCGCGACATATTTCCATCGGGCTGTAAACGGTCGAAGGAGCCGCGCGGCGACCGCACATTTCGTTCGGTTAGCCTCGTGGCTAATTCCCGAACGTCCGGCCGTGGACGAAGTGCATAAATAACCGGGCAATCGTGGGTGACGAGTTTTCGCGTCGCGTACGACGAGCTTAAATCTCCCCGGGGCCCAAAGTGACGCCTCGTAATGCGGGGTTTGCTCCGTTCGAACGACGACACAAGCGCATCGACGTTACGGTCCCGCATTGGCAGGCGTTTGAAATACACTCGGCTGAATTATGAACCGTAAAAACAAGTATAGCGGCCGGAACGAAACTCCGTAGGGCTTTAACCCGACTGGTAACCGTAGGCCGTAGGTAACCGTATTCACCCTCGCCAAGGGTTATTACTGTGCGTGACTCGGTGTGGTCTGCGGTCCAAACACCTCGCCAGGATGCCTTCTGCAACGTAGAATAACAGAAAGAGAGGCGAACACGGTTAGGAAATGGGAAAGAGAGAGAATAGAACGAGGCGAACACGAGCGTAGACGAAAGAAGAAACGGAATGCGCGGTGGACGACGGAACCACCTCTGGTCGCGAATTCGAGTGGCAAGCGCGCCTCGTTAACAGCTCGTCTCGTTTCGAATACGAATGGGATACCGCCAGTAATTTCTTCAGGGTTAGTCTTCTTTATGTAAGCGAGCATTGTTCTCTTCGTGAGAGGATTTTCGGCTTAGATGTTGGGTCATGCGTGTGGTGAAGATGGAACGTTTGGAATAACGTTATTTCATCCCTTATGGCATACATTTTTTTACGGTTCAGCGATCGAAACTTGCTCGATAACTCAACAAATAAAATTAATAAGTTACGAGCTGTACCGCGTTTATCGGTTTCTGCAAGGAATCACCTGTGTAGGAATAACAATATCTACTAGTTTCCAACCAAGCCTCGCATTTCCACCTTCGAGAATGTATCTCCACGTCTAAAAATTAATAATATTCTTAATAATCGCGAATAAATGAATTGATAAACCATAAAACATCCGAGCATTTAATACCCGCAATTCTTGCGCCTATCGAAACATCCATTCTGCCATTTTGTTCGCTCAAAATCAATAAACATCTGCGGTTTCAAAAATCCCTTCAGAACGCTATAAACAACACGACGTAACGATACATCCATTAAAGATCTCGGTGGACACACGATCCCCGAGGTGCCTTAGAATCGAAACACAATGAAAACAGGAATGACCACCTGGTAACGAGACAAAGAGAGGCGTAAAAAAAAAGGAAGAAAAAGGCGAAAAGACTCGAAGGTTAAGTACCAATCGAAATAGCCTTACGCGCTTCGTTCGAGGAAGGTTGGAGGCGGCAAGGGCATCGGCTGTTCAAGGATTGGAACGCGAACCGTGTCAAGTATCCTTCGACGTGGAGGTGTGGTGACCAGAAGAAACGAAAGGCATCGGGTCTCGAGGATGAAGAAGAAGAAAAGGAGATGGACATTAGCGTAATGACGTCCAGAGTGAGGCGTAATGACACCAGGGTCATCGAGCGATACTGCAGTGGATCATACGGCGAGGTCGTGATGGCGAGGTCGTTCCCTCCACCTGAACCACCTCGAACGCCACCACCATCACCACCACCACGCTCTCTCTCTCTCTAGCTTCCTCTCTCCCTCTCCTCTCCTGCTTATTCTTCCTCCACCACCTCCTCCTCCTCCTCCTCCTACTTCTACCTGACTCCTACAGCTCCTCTTTTCCTCCTCGTATTCGCAAATGCGCCCGCGGAATGAGCCGGCTCGGCCCCGACTTGCCCGCCAATAATAATTCTTACCGGATTCAATTTGAATAATGCCGCGTGCGGTTTCCATCGGCATGCCCGAGCACGCCTTATTATCTCACGTACCAACTCGCCTACTCGATATCCATCGATGGTAGGTATATCCCCCTCCTCGCCCCAGCCACCATTATATTTTTCCCCTCTACATCCACCGACACAGAGAGGATCTTTTCCCTCGATCCTCTTCCATCTCGGATCGCTCTTTCGTTCCTTCTTCGTTCCTTCTTCGTTCCTTCTTCGCCCCTTCTTCGTCCCTTCTTCCTTCCTTCTTCCCCTCTCGGCCCCATTCCGCTAGTTCGCGCGAGTACCTTGCCGATGGTTACAATTCTAGGATTTATCTCTCCTTTATCCTTTCATTCCTGTCTCTTGGTTAATGTCGTCGCGCTCTTTTCTGCCCCCTTCGCCGCGGCCTCAACGCCGTGTTGCTCTCGCCTCGTTTTATAGAAATCCGCCAGGAAAAGGAGTACGTTTGAAATACACGGTGGCTCGATCCAAGTATCGAAGGATAAGAGAAGAGAAGAGAAGGAAAGAGAAGAAGGAAATAAGGGGCGAAAGATCGCGGAGATATAAAGTGTTTATACTCCGGAATCGCCCTGCTGGAATCGATTTCCAGTCGATCCCCGAGTCTGACCCTTTCCAACAACGATCGATACATATGTACGTCTATCCCCGAAGATTAATGCGATATTGCGCCAACTTTCGTCACGTGGAATTACAATCCCCATCCCCTTCTAGCAAATTAACCCATACTTTACCGTCCTCGTTTTTTCCTTCTTCGTTTCAGCTACCGATCTCCCTACTTGTTTTATCAAAATTACTCGCGCCTCTTCAAACCTCCAGCAATTTCTACTTGTTCTCTCTCTCTCTCTGTTTCTTCCGATGTTCCTCGGTCTCGCTCTTCCGTCTATCTGCTTCGTTTTCGCGCTTTCGATCTTCTTCGTTCGAGAAGATACATCGAATCCGCGTTAGAGATCCTCGCCACGAAAATTCCCAGGCCATCGGTAGTACTCTTCCTCGTATATGCCATATCGAAGACGGTATGTGCGCCGTCACGGTCCACGGAATAGTCTGTTTTCCTCTTTCTTTCGCCAGTCTGTCCCATCTTGTCGAAGAAATCAACTATACCAACCAAGTGACGACAGATCCTCTTCGCGAGCTCCGACTTTCGACTGACACGTTCAAAGAGTCGATGCACTTATTGTCACGCGTTCTCTTGCCCGTGACTTCGAGTCACGGTTGCCGCTTCTTTGGTCTCGTCAGCTTCACGCCATTTGCAAATTCGTGACACACGTTCCGACCAACGTCTGACTTAACGAGCCTTGTTCTAAGATAATTTGCGCCTGAAATAAGCAATAGATATGGAAATTACGGCGACAGGTTGTTACCCTCGTGTAGTTTTTCATCGTTCGATCAGAAAATTGATAGCGAAGTAAGATGAATTCAATTTTGATTACGACTTTTTTTCTTCCGAGTATTTTAAACGGAGATTAATGCCAAATATCGTCTTGTTGAATCACGTTCGGTTTGCAATAACAGAAATACAAAAATCATATCGTACGATATTGATTTCAAAACAAATGTCAAAAATAAAAAATGGAACGGTGAAATACCGTCGACTCACACGGTTGATATCTGGTACTGTTATTCGATAGAACGGTAGACAGATATATGTAGAACAAAGTTATAGCGAAAAGCATTATTTAATAAAATTGGTTGACAAAAATTGGATCTAAAAATATTCATTGAATGCCGATACACATTTAAAAAAAAAATAGATGAAATGTAAAATAAATGTCGAAAAGTATTGCCTGATATTCTCTTTTTTAAAGTCGCTGCAACTAATTTATCGCCATTTCGACAATGAACAGCTGAAAGCAACGTCACAACATTTTTCATACCGTGGTTAGAGTTTCGTGCTCTAACTTCGTAGACTGCCGTCCCTTTTCTCGCTCGTCGACATAATGTCCTTTCAACCCCCTTTTAAAACCCCTAAGCAGTAACAGTTACAATGTGATAGGGAGCTCTCTAGCCTCATCGACTTCGACATTTCAGTCAGAGAGAAAACTGTACGTGACTGCCATTACCAAGGAACCATCTTCGTCAAAATGCTTCGCGTTTATTTTTAAAGTTGCTTTTTTTTGATAAAAAAAATACACGTTGTAGATTACTCCTTAAGTATGTGATAAAATTGTTAACAATATCGTAATTATCATTATTATCTTAACACTTATATTATAATTTTAAAGCTATAAATATCTTGCTACCGATTCTAAGGTTGAATCCATTTTACAAAAACATTAACGAATATATCGTATTCCTAATATATCGTAATCTAAACATTCGGAAAAGTCAAACGACGCGCGCTAATAAACTATATTTATTAGGAGATTCGCAGGATGACGATCTGATGGACGCCAATCGCACAGTTATCGATTACCTGTCGCCAGAATCAAATAGGAGATTGAGCGGACTTGTGGTTTGAAAGAAAAACCACTGTAGCATATGTGTCCCGTAGGGGTGCTTTTTATCGGAACCATTATAAAGGTTTTTCAGAAAGTTTTCGACAGCCTACCCCAGCAACATCCACCGCCTGAGAAATACATTGAATGCAGGGTTGCCACAACAAAACCGTTTGCTTAAATCTACGAACAAAATACTTAAAACTACTATCGGTTACACGTTAAATAAAGAAATGAAAATAACGTTCGATAAAATGTTTATCTATCGTCGACTATGATAAAATCTATATTGAATTGTTTAGTTCTGAATTTTCAAATAAAGAAAGTGCGACTAAGAGGCGTAAATACAATGTTGGAAAGCTCTTCTTTCGTGCTTTCGCTGACTTTTGAAATAGTCAGATTCCAAAGGCAAATCTTAACGACGTTTAATCATTAATAACGCGACTTCTTTCATGCTATTACTCATCGCACAAGCCTATAATCAAAATACAAACGCCCAACAAACATCCCAGCGAACCTAATGTCCAAATTAAACAAAATCTGTTTATCATTACGATGTTCTCGGTGTCATCTGCTCGAGGGACATAAATACAAGCTGCGGGGATGACTCGGCTGCGCGCATCCGCCGCCTCTCTCAATCTAAAGCTCGTCGGGGGAAATTAAAACGGCCCGCAATCATTCAACAAAATGCCTCTACCTGGTTTTATTGGTCGAAAAAGCGGGATTTACGTGGAGAAAGGGAAATAAAGGGAGAAAAGAAAGAGAGAGTTGCTCGTCCGGAGCTCTGCTCCTTTCGCTGTTTGGCTGTTTGCGATTCAATACGACAGAAACATCGGGCCCTGGCGAGTCGCCGAAAGGAAAAAGACAAAACGAGCCGACATCGGGGGCCGCAGCAGGCTCCACCGCGAGGTAAATCGAGAAGCTGCGCCGCTAGCTGCGAGTCGAGGAGCCGTCCGGGTGCGGACGACCAAGAGGACTCATGATTCAGTTAGGAGGTTTGAGGTTTGAGGTCTGGCCGTCATTATGTCGCCTGCCGCCGTAGCTGGCGGCTT